TCTAACAATGCGGTTATACCCGGAGTGAAAGTACCACCAAGTTTTACGCGTTGTCAGCAAGGTGCCTTTCGGTGGCCAGTTTGCGTTTTAATTTCTTACCATTTTGGTTGCTGAAACCTTCATGGCTGCAGATACTGATTGCAGAGCGCTGGCAAGGCGGAACAGAATGCCCTTTGGGGAAAAATACTCTTCCCTGTCTCCCTGCCCCCAGCCACGCTTGGAAATGACAGGATTGGTGGTTTGGGGTTTTTTGTTGTTTTGTTTTGTTGTTTTTTTTTTTTTCCTAAGGAGAAATTTTCTGATTAGAAAATTGCCATTGTCCTGGAGAATTGAATCCTTAAAGTAGAAGTGTGTTTTTAAAAAAACAGAGCTCATATAATGGCTATATTTTTCTGGGCTAACTTTTTTTTCACTTAAAATTTTTCTTTTCAATTGGAAAAATGCTTTAAATTATAGCCATTAAAAAAAAAGTTTCTAGCAAGCAAAAATGCTGTGGAAAACCTGTAATCCAGACAAGCACCTACATTTTATTCACTCTGTGCTGCTGAAATTTAGAATCCCTTCCCATTTACAGTTTACTTTTCACAGAACATTATTAACTTTTTGGCTTCATACATGATCTTCTGTCAGATGCTTTTGATTTGTAATTTAGCAAAGTATAATAAACAGTGCAAAAGTCATGAATTTTCCTCCGCATCCTGAGCTCTGTGGTAGGGAAAATGTGATAAAATGTGTACCTTAAGTCTTGTTTGATGATCTCTCAAAGCAAGTTTGCCTTCTGGAAATAATTTCTGGGGTTGAAGAGCATGGTATTAACAGATTTAATGTGGCTATTCAATGGATTGGTGGAGTACTATGTGAGGTTTAACAAAATGAGAGAGACAAATTGAACATCAACAAAACCTACATCTGTGAGGAATTATAAATTTAATTAGAAAAAAGGCAAACTTAAAAGACCTCATTAACTAATCAGAATTTGATGTTACTGATTTAAGAATCTTACATGGATGAATTTTAAGTAGCTTTGCTGTCATTGTCCTTTTTTTTTTTTTTTTCTTTTCTCTTCATCCACTACCTAGTGCCTATATCTGCTGACCATATTAAGGAGAAAGATGTGAATGTTGCTTGAAGCAGTCAAATTATGCAAGGTCCTATTTTTGATGTATTAAGGAGAATGTGTACATTGCTTATCTTTTTTTAGTTTAAGCAGAGCACAGAGATTCAAGTGTGAGTGGCAGCCACTTTTTTTTTTCTTTTTGAATTTTGTTTTATGTGCCCCTTTGGCTAGATGGGTAGGGGCACTGCATTTTTTCCCCCACTTTTTGTTTGATATGAGAGTTATGTTGCAGAATTTCAGTTATCCAGAAATCTGTTGGCAAAATAGGGGAGTGTAGGAGAACAAGCACACGCCACCCAGAAATGTTTTTATTCTATGAACTAGTGGTCATAAGTGTGGTTCCTTACTACATTGTAATTTTGTACTACACATAAAAAACTGAAAGCATGTGAAGTGTAGCATTTTGTAAACTGTAACTAATTTCACTCACATCTGTGTCTAATTGTTGTCTGCATTCGCATTCTTGAGAGTAGATTTATTTTTCCTGGACCACTATGTGGATTCAGCTGACCAGCCTAAGTGAGGATTAGTTGTTTTAAAGTTATTTTGATTAAAGAGTCATTTTTAAATATGGTAACGTGCAACACATGGTTTAAATAATCCTTGAGACACAAAGGAATATATCTAAAGTATGTCTAATGAAAACGAAGATTGTGGATACGAACTTTCACAAATCATAGAGTGTAAAAGGGCATATAAGATATATATTTAATTCATTGGGAATGAGCTGGATTATTTTCTGCCCTCTCCCATGAATCCTTAAATTATATCTTTCTCACTCTACACACAAACACACATGTGCTCACACATGCACATGCATAAATATATATAGAGGTAAGGAAGTTATTACTTTTTTAAGTTTCTATAGAAAAAATAGTGAGGATTAAAAGTATTTTAGAACTTGGTGAAGCGTGAATAATATTAAAGGGTATTTTGGAAAATATCAATTAATTAATATAGCTGAAAAAAGAACGTTTTTTCCAGGATRAGAGATATGTTTTAAATGATCCTGCACAAGAGGCAGTGAAGATAGCTCTGTAAGAAAACCTAGTTCTCACCTATAATTTTTTCCAGGTGTTTAGAAGTAATAGCAGAAAAATATCCTAAGGCACTCTGCTGCTGTTTTGGGGGTAAAGAATTGGGAAAAAAAAAAAAACCCTTAGATCTGATTTTTATTTTTTTAAACAAAGTGCACAGTTCTGAGCCTATCCAGTCCTCTGCTTTTATTTGGCATGCTACAGTGCACTGAGAAGCACGTTGTGCAGGACTTTAAGGACCCCGTTGTAAAAAGATTGATGTTTTTCAGCGTGCGCCGGTGCAGGCTCCTTGACATCATCGGTGGCGTTACGCACCACCTGGCTTCCCCCAGCCCTTGTTTATCCTTGCTGGTAGTAACCCTGCTCGTGATTAAAAATAACAGAGAAAAGCTACGGGCACACAAGTGAGATTYGCTCGGATGGTTTTTATAGCACTTAAAATGCCTTGTTGTCTCCCTCGTCTTTTGCCCTATGATCATTTGGAAGATGTTGGTTCAGGTTGAATGGAAGTACGCTTGAAAGATTCATTGTGTGGACATTAAGGCGATATATATATATATATACACATATATATATATATAAAATTATATATTTTTTATATATATATACACAGTTTCTAGGAGAGGTTTGTGTATACTTTYAATCTCATAGTGTCTCTTCACCTGAACTTGGTCACCTGCGAGGAGACCGTGCGGGCTGCAGGCAGGAGCTGTTGCCCACACGAGGCTTTGTCAGTAGGACAGGAGGGCCTGTCGTCCACCTGAGCCCARAAAGGAGGCATTTTACCCCAAAGTGGGGAGCTGTTGCTGGCTTTCCACATGGAAGCAAGTGAGCATGGTGCCTTCCTCCCGCCTTGAGGACTCTTGGAGCCACTGTGTCCAGACCCTCGTCAGCGAGCCGGGTTTTTGCAAGGTGTATGGGTGCCCTTAGCTGTAACACTTGCTGCACGGGGAGAGGGTGCCAGGTGGGCTCCCACGGGGAGGTGGCAGCAGGTAGCCCCCCAAAAACACCTCCCGCAGGCCCTGGGGCCATCCGCATGGGGCTGGCGCGGGGGCGGAGGGAGCCCCTGGGCCRCTGCCATGGGCTCCTCATGAATCACGGCCCCCGTCACTCGGCTGCCGCCGTCTCGCGGCCTTGGCGGCGAGGAGAGGGGAGCAGGGAGCGCGACCTGCCGAGGGCAGTGCCGCCGCCGCCGTGCGCTCRCACACAATATGCCTTTGAGGGCCGCCCGGCCCTCCTCCTCCTCCTCTTGCTCGGGGTTTAAAGGCCCGAGTTGTCACCGGCGGCGGTAGCGCCCGGCCCAGGCGGCGGCCGCGCGGCGGGGCGCAGTCACCGACGCCTCTGTTCGCTTCCCCCCTCGCAGGTGCAAACGTGCCAGGCCGGCTCCGATGCTGCTGCTTCCTCAAGCTGCAGGTAAGGAGACGCTGGGAAACCGCTCCCTCTTCCTTCTTTTCTTTCCTGCGGACTCTTCCTCTTGTGCTCAGGTGACGGATTGATGTTTATTGTTGGTTCCCATGTCAAGCTTGTAAATCCAGAGCTTTGTGTGTGAATGCGGGCAGCAAATTCTGCAGGCTCTGGACACGTTTGCTTTCTTGCCAGTAATTTACTTTCAAGCAAGCGACTGACTTTTTTTAACTCATTGCRGAATCGTGCTCCTTAATTCACACGAAGGTCAGTTTTAAGGGYTCTAAAGTTAAGGATTTGTGTCCAGAGTTCACTCTTAATATYTCCGTTTAAGGTGAGAACTGCGTGGTTGAAATGACACCTACATTTGAGGATTTTTAAACTATTACCTTGGAAAGAATTTTTTTATAAATTTTAATAAGTCTTTAAAAGGACRCAGCCATTTCATTCAAATAAAAAAAAAATTACTCGTTCAGATGCCTTGGAGGCACCGTAACCTCTGAAGTTTCTACTGGGAGCAATTACTTAGAATAAGCACATCAATAACATTATCAGACGTTTTTAGGTACAGAAAGACGGAAGTGTAGGGCACCGTGTTTATAAGTTTTGCAGGCATAAAACAAGAGATATGTCCTGACGGCGRTGGCTGCTGGCCTTTTATGCAAGGCTATTAAAGAGGCGAATGGGAAATATTGAGCTGCCCGCGCGCTGTGTGACGGCTCCGCGTTCGCGCTGCGTCTGGATGGCGCTCTTATTGTTTTGCCTAAATGACAGCTGAGATATAGAGCAGAGTGSTAAGGCATACTAACACCTATATGGATTCGCTGTATGTTGGACATATCCCTTTTCAATTGGGCACGCTTTATGTAATCCACAAAGCAAACAAGCGAGCAGACACAGTAATGTTTTAATGCTGCATTTGTTTCAGCGGAAACAGAGGAACAATTAAGTAGTTTGCCAGAGTAAACACATACATCAGGAATATCTCATTCCCTGTCACTAGACGATAGGTTTCCACTATTGCTTCGAGTGTTTTATTTGGTTTGGAGGCCCATTATATTGCCACTGAGTGGTAAATCATGAAAAAGCCCAGTGCTAATTTCTTTTTAAGAGAATATATTTCTTCATATTTTGGTGAGTCTGTCTTGGCACACACTTTAAAAATATCTGGTGACGTGACTGTCTAAAACTCAGTACTCTATCCAGATTTCTTTCTGTTAGAAGATGCAAAAATAGTCATGATAGCTGATCCATATTTGTGTATATGCAGCAACCATATAAGGGTTAACTGGAGAAAAGATCCTATTGGGAGAAGCTGTTCCTTTTTATTCAAAGTGATTTTACAGTATTTGTTAATAGTGGGCAGCATTTCTTCCAGGCAATTCCTCTCTAATCCATGTTGAATGTGTCATTAAAAGTAGTTGCCTCTTGTTTTCAGGTCTATGGAAATGCAGGATCTAGCCAGCCCTCATAGCCGACTAAGTGGTAGTAGCGAATCCCCCAATGGTCCAAAGCTTGATAACYCTCATCTAAACAATAATTCCATGACACCCAATGGCACAGAAGGTGAGCTACCTTTTTATTTTTCAGTTCATTCAGTGTTTTTCTTTCTCCTTATTTTTTCAATGTCCCTACGGTCAGTAAGCTAGAGAGAAATAATTTTAGGTGTGACACGTTTGTGTCCTATGATGTATAGAAATTATGTTCGATGTTTCGCAGTAGTTACTGTAACCAACTTTCAGCAGCAGCTCCTGTCCCAGCTTTATGCTCCTTTCACACAGCTTGAATGCATTCAGTAGATAATATGCGCAACACTTAAAAACCGCTTTAGAAAAAAACCAAAAACGTATTTTAACAATGAGAAAAATGAAAGTGTCGCCGTTATCTTTTCTATAGAACGCAATCTTACCTTCTTTTTTATTCTTTCAGTATTCCTTTATGTTTGTGTTTCTTGCAAGCTCCCAAGGCTCTGAAAGCTTTGTCAAGTCGCCTAATAAAACTGAGTGTTGAAATTTCCTAGGGCTAGCTTGCTGCTCTGATGGAGTGGCCAAAATTCAAACAGGTGTAGTAATTCAATGGGGTAAACTGATCCCTATTTTTCAAGAAACAGTCAGCSAGTTGATAAGTTATGTTTGTTCTCAGTAGAATACTAACAGCAGAACAACTTTTCTGCCTTGCCAGTAATGACATATAATGAAATACAGAAGGATTTATATAATAAGCACTGATGAATACTCTTTGGAGTAACATTACTCTGGCAGTAGTAGGAAAGATCATATATGATTTTTGGCTAGCTGTATAGCGAGAGACTTTAAAGAAACATGACTCTAATTACTAGCAATGCATTAAATACAACTTTTTGATATAAATGTGTAGTTAAATAATTGTAATCTACATTTTTTTTTTTTTCTTATAAACTGGATGGTATTAGTGCTGTCAGGCTGTTTAGGATTTTGGACGTGCATTGCATTCTTCCAGGAAAGGCACATGTCAGTCAGACAGATGTCGTCCCCCCTCAATTCCCCAAACATCTCTGTTATTCGTTCTAATTGGAGTCCTCTGTAGCTGGGAGGGCTTATGCGTTATCAGATTAACAGGCTTTTGTGCCAGAGTTGTGTATAAGTTACTTCTGCTGTTGCTGTAAAAGCATTGTTGGCAGTCCAAATTTAAAGCAATTTGGGAAAAAGGAAAGTTTATGCTTTATGTGTTTATGTCATTTAAGCAGAAAAATATTTCATGTCAATATATGAATCTTCTTCCTTTATGCTATCAAATGTCTTATTATATTTTTATCTAATAATATCTAGTATATACTGATTTTGGTACAGGACAAAATTATCTGACCCTTTTGAATCAAAATCCTTCTTCAACCCTATGGGTTTTGCTGTAAATTTTTGTAGTTTTTTACTTCCCGTGTAACTCGAAAGTTCTTTAGTGCCCCCGAAATGGGAAGTGTTCCTTGAAACGCTGAAAGACATTCACCATCTGTCTACTTTTTGTTCCACATAGTTGCTGTGTGCAGACAAAGGCTCTGAACATGGCTTTCTTGATATTACTTTATCAAGAAATCACTTTTGTATTGTATCTATTCATGCACTGCCCTCACATAGCTAATAACTCCTCAGTTAGCATCCCCGTTTGTCAATCTGAGTTTATTGGCAAATGCAACTTAAACCACAGTAAATTATTTCTTTGCCATTACAATGACAACATTCAGGTTTATTCAGTCGCGTGGATTTCTCCCCCAAAAGACATGAAGTTGAAATACCCGTTTGCCCTCAGAGCTGACGCCAAAGTTTTCCTTTGTTTGCCCTTTCCCCCCAGGTGCCATGACCCTGCTCAGCACTGCAGACTGGTTACCCAGTGCTAGCCCACAAACCGCGGCAGGTTTGTGGAGCTGGGGGGACACCCCAGCAGCGGGCTGTTAGCATGCATTGTAAGCCGTCCAAAAAGAGGAATATCTCGTGCTCAGTGAATCCGGTCTAAACTTTTGCAAGTCGCAGTCACTGTCTCTGGTTGCTCTTAAGTGGCAAATAATGAAAAAAAAAGAAAAAAAAAAAAAGAAAGAAACATTATAGAATCATTTATTTCTGAACTAGATGTGTGCTAAGAGTTACGTTTTGCAAGCTAAATCGATGCTTAAGAATCCATAGGTGGAATTTTGCTCTTAATCTGCTTTATCTTGCGAAAATGTTTGGTTTTGGTTCTTCTAGCTGCTAAACAAGCTTAAGAAAAATACGAAGTGAATGTAGTGAGGCTTTCATTTTTAATGAAGGTTGAAGTTACATTTTTTCTCTTCCTGAATTTCTTGGAGCAGAGTCTCACTGAAATGCAAATGGCAGATTATAAAGATGCACGTGTGTGGGGTTGCCAAACACCTTCATTAAAATGCTCCAGTCTGGTTTGCTTGTTTGCTGCATGTGCAATGGAAACGTGTGTTGCTGAACATTCACATGTTAAATAGATTATAGGAAGTTGACTTCTAACTGAGATACTCATTCTTGCTAATGTAAGAGAGCCCTCCTCTTTTGGCATGAGGGCTGTCATGAATGAGAAATGGGGCCTCCAGGTATATTCATATTTGCATGCTATAAATGTGTTGTAAAGATATGTTAAATCTGATTTGACTCTGGGTGTGATTTAGGCAGCTTTCCATACCCCAAAGTGAGGCATATGTTCCCTAAATAAGGAAAAAAAAAAAAAAAAAAAGAAAGAAAAAAAAAGAAAAAGAAAAAAAGAAAGAAAAATCTGTCCCAAAGTGAAATGGCCCTGTTTCAAACAAATATTCATTGATTCCTCTAAGGCACATTTTCAGACTTGTCTCTTATTGATGTTGTTCTACAAGAGGATGTGGTTGGCAGATAGCTCGCTGTTGTTAGCTASATTTTTAAGCGTCACACTTAGTGGTAAATTTTCAAAGGACTGAATGGGCGTTTAGTTGTGTGATTGAATCTTAGGGTAATCCCTGCATGCAGCTTTTATGTAACTCTTTGTGTGAGCTTTTATATGACTGTGGTATGCTTAATTTCTCATCAGTAGAACAAAATCATTACAGTGCAAAACTGACCAAGTAATGATGTCCACGGCCTGCATCTGGAGAAATTATTCCCCTTCTTTAGTCTTTTTCTTCTCTTCTCTTCTCTTCTCTTCTCTTCTCTTCTCTTCTCTTCTCTTCTCTTCTCTTCTCTTCTCTTCTCTTTCTTAGACAATTGCTATTTATTTATTTCCTTCTATCTAAAAATTTCTAGACAAATCAGATGACTAATTCTTGTGTTGGACAGCAGTTTCTCTGTGAGCTGCTTCTGGAGCATAGTTAGGTCTGTAAACCCAAACTTCTTTTAAGCTGGTCTCAAGTTGTGGGCAGCTGTGGGTGTCTGCATGGTGAGGGGAAAATAAAATTTCCTTAACATTTGGGGCTAAAAGAAAAATGCATAAATAATATTAGGAGATTACTAATAGTAAGAAATCCCTTTGCTGGTGTTTGTTTTTTTCCTCCTTTACTCTGGGCCAGTGAGGCAGCATGGTTCTCAAACCAGTTTTGGGAAATAACAGGAAAATTATTGATCTTGTTCAGTCAGAATTTTCCCAGGTGCAAATGTAGAAAAGTTAAAAAAAAAAAAAATTGACTAAAAATATTAAAAAAAAAAAAAATCAGTYTTGTTATATCAAGAGGGATGGGATGGGATACTGTAGGATTTGAACATTTCATGATCATTTAAACGTTTGAACATATAAAGTAWTTTTTTTTAAAATGTCCTGTCATAGTGAACATTAGACATTCTGGACACCTTTAAAATTTGGCCGTGTGTGGCTTGCCTAGGAAAATCTGTAACTARGTAGAAAAGCCCCATAATTTTAGAAGCCGTGCCTTATCTCTGAAATTACCTCGTCAGCAAGTTGCTGTGGAGTGTTGATAYAGAACGACTTAAAGAATCAATAACCAAACTGCCACTTATTAATTTTCATCAGACAGCTACAGGCTGCTCCAACAACGGGATCAATTTTGAAGGGGAAAGGCTGGGAGTAGTTAAAAATTTGTATCGACATGTAAAGCTGTTTTCCACGGAAGCCAGTTGGATGCTTTCTACTTAGAATGATCTTTTAGCTTAAGAACATGAMTCCATGCATGTTCCTCATGTAGTGAGAAACAGAGGCCTCTTACCCATTATTATGGTGGTTTATGCAACTGTCATGAAGAAGAAGAAATGAAGACTGGAAAAGGCACAGTGGATTTCCAAGCAACTACTCTTAATTTGTATTAGGAGTATGGAGGTACTTCARCCCTTATTTTTGAGTATACAGACGGAAGAAGAGAAGACATTTTCATATCAAGTGGGAAGGGGAAATGAACAACAAATTGAAGATCAGATTTTCAAAGATAAATAGAGAGAGAGGCTTCAAAGGCAGTTGGACATCAAAATTCCTTTGGAAAGAGAAAAAAAGTTCCTGCTCTTAAAGTACCTGCTGCAACATGAGAATGAGATCCCACACAAAGGCACTCAGAGCTCCCCACCAGGTGACTACCAGGCAGGTGGCCATTAGAAAGTTTGCCTTAAGTCTCGTGAATGTAAATCCCTCCTCGGGGCTCAAAAGGCAGCACGGTGCCTTGCTGTCCATTTGTAATATTATAGAGTGGAGAGTCACTTGTATTAGACATTGTCTGAGGACTTACAAAAAAAAAAAAAATCCTACCTGGCTTTTTCCAGAAACTTWTAAAAGAGATCTTTGGAATCTGAAGGCCTCAGTGGCAAATTTCTGAAGGCTTTTGAGCCTGTCTTTTCGGCCTGCCATGCCTCTGATCTATATGTCAGCACTGAAGATAYGTAGATGCCTCTGGTGAGCAACAAGGTCTGTCAGGTTGGGCCTGGTGCAACATTTAAGAGCTGCAGCTACAGAGGTTCATCTGCATTTGAAAAAAATCAAAAAACTCTTTAATGAAAGAAGAAAATGACGTTACGATAATGCTTGTGGAATAAGTTTACATATACATATATAAAAGACTCTTCAAAGTCAATAGCATATTCAAAACAAAAGCCTTTGCCTAAAAAGGAAGTCRTAATTTACAG